TTTAAAATACTTGTATTTTTCAGGCACCTCTTTGCCAATTAAGCCTAATCTTTTGTAATAGTTTTAGCATTGGACCCAGCCTTTTCATGGATGGCAAGGGGCACTATAGTAGTCATGGGGCAGTATGGCTTCCAGAGTTCAGGAATGACATTAGAAAATTTAAGCTGTCCTAGTTTTGTAGGCTTAGAATCTACATTAAAAAAATATAGATGAGATTAAGGGTTTAGTTGATGTTTTTTTCTTAGAACTCACTCCCTAACAGTGCATCTGAAAAGAAAGGGAAAGCAGTGGACTTCAACGAACTGAAGCTTGAGCACAAAAGGCAGCAAGAGGAGCAGAGGCAGCTTAAGAGGGAGCAACAGCAAAAGGCAGATGGTGTCCGATGGCAGCTGCGCAGGGACAAGCAGAGGTACTGAATGATGTGGGAGCGAGGGCAAAGAGGAATCCAGAGAAGCAGAAGGAAGATTTTGGCAAAATCTAGGAGCTAACTGGGTCCTTGTAGCAAGCATCAGATGGGTGATAATGTCCACTCCCTAGTGCTCCCAGTCTCTGAATGCCACACATCGTGCTTTATGCTGGTCTCTGCATGCTGAGCTTGGTGATTCACTAATGGAAGGAAAAAAAATCTGTAAAATATTAAACAAACAAAAAAGGCAACATACCAGCCTAAGGTATGTTTGAATGGGTGTGCATGGTCCTGTAGTCTCTTGCATTAGTTCCAAGGGCAAATTTTCTTCAGTCTCATCCTCAGAGTCCTTTAATCCCAAATCCTGTTTCCCTGACCACAGTCACACAGTCCCTGGCCAAGAATGGCCCTGGCCCACCCTTGCCCCCATGACCCACCGCCTTCCATCTCTTCCATGGCCTCCAGGGCTCCATTATCAAGACAGTCCTGCTACCACAGTCCATGCCCCTCATGCCTGGTCTTCAGGGCCAAAAACACCCAGTCACCTCAGGCTGTGCAGTCAGGTGAAGAGCTGGCAACATCAGGCACCAGCCCCAGCTCCGCTCAGGACACAGGTTTAACACTCGTAACCTAACAAAGCATCCTGGAATATTTGCTGACCATAAAGTGCCAGAATGCCTGATTTGCATCTTATGTACCTCCCTGCCTCCTACACTCTTCCTGAGAAATTTGCATGATTTTATTTGGAAACAGACAGCAATTTCTTCAGAGAACATTGCAAGGGCTGGAGAAAGAGCAAGAGCACAAGGACAGGGCTCGCCAGCACACAGCACTGCTCCAAGCTGCCATGGCAGAGAGGAGCAGGAAGGCATCCTCCTTGGTAGAGGAGGAGAAGAAAAAGGCAAATCAGAGGCTGCAGTTCTTAAAGACGCAGCGCCTGGAGAGAGAAGCAGCTTTGGCAGAGCGTAATGAAAGGAGCTTTGAACAAGAGAAACAGAGGCTGGTAAGGGCTCTTTTCTAAAAGCTTTTTCTAGACAACTGTGTTTCCAGCAGTGGTACCATCTAGAAAACTTGTTTTTCATGTTTTCTATCCATTATAATTATTCCTTGGAGATGCAAAAGCAAGGGGCTCTTTTTTTATTTAAACACATGCATAAAGTTGAGAGGGAGAATTTCCCATCTCTATGGCAGAAGTCTTTCTGTATGCAAGGATGAATTTCCGCAGACAAAGCCCACATGTGGAACTATCTACCAACTGTATACAACAAGCTGGTTAGGCAAATTCACTATTAATCCTATTTCTAAGTTCTGTCAGCAATATTTGTAGATTAAATTAAGCATGAAAACTGGCTATACAATAGTAAATGTGTCTTTTCTAATTATTTTTATGCAGGCTTTGCTCAGGAGCAGAATGCAGTCACGGCAGGAAATGCAGGAACACGAATCACGGGACCAGGACCAGCAGCAGAAGCAGCACCAGGCTGCCAAAAAGAGAGTTTTCCAGAGCAGGGAGCGTTCCCACCAGCAGATGGAAGAGAAAGGCCAAAAACGCTGCGACCTCCAGCAGTACCTCAGAGACCAGAATCTTCTGAGGCTCCGGATGTCACTACTGGAGTGAAGAAGCTGCAGTGGGGGTAAGCAGAGCCTTGGGCATTTAAACCTGCCCTATATCTTACAAGGGTGAGTCAGTGTGCTGGAGCTCAGGCAAGAGCACAGTTGTGATGAGCAAAACTGCAACTCCTGGAGAGATCTCATAGCTTCCCTTTCTTGCAGCCAGAGGGCATTTTCACTGCTCTGTCCTCTGCAAGCCTTCCTTTCTGGAGGTCCTGATCTAACCCGCTCGTTCAAGGTGTAGACCCCTCAACACTGTGAAACCACTCTTTGTTTTAGATGTACTGAGTGACCAAACTGACAGGTTCAACTCTGCAACCAAGAGCTAAGCTGGTATTTAATAAAACTATAGCATTTACTTCCTGCCCCGAAGGCAACTCCCAGCTGGAAGGCACTATCTTTCCCCATAGGACTCCAAGGAGGTGGCACCTGGAGTGTTGGGCTCAGTGTTGGAAGCGGTGGTGAGGGGAGCAAGAGAGGATCTGGGGGTTACAGAATCCCTTCAGAGAAACAGCATAAGGCCTAGAGCCTGGCCGAGGGACATCAGGCTAAAGCTGATTTCAAGCTGCAAAGGACAGAGAGGTGAATTAGTTAAGCGAGGGCCTCGCACTCTCAGCGCCCACCCACTCAAGTGTGCAGGCCCCTCCCCAGAAGAACAACTTGTGTAACTCCAGAACACAAAAAGACTTTTTTCTTTTTGGTGCAAAGCTATCTCTTCTAGGCAGTATGAGGAAGAAATTATCTGTTCTTCTCTGAAATGTGCCTGGAGAAGCCCTGCATTCAAGGGTGGGTTTAGGGTCTTATATGTTATACTTACTGCCCCACTCTCAGGCTTGATATCTAGAAGAGTTGGAAGTTTTAAGCTGGGAAGAGTATCATGAAGGTACTAGCTTTGCAAGCAGAGTTCAGAGCAAATAGGCTTGATATGCACCATGCATAAGTGAGGAGAATGCTACTAAGACAAATATTAAGATAAATTGAAAGGCAAGTGAGCAAATTGTACCACAGACTCTGGTAGCCAGAGGTAGCCAAGAACCAAACAACATACAAACAAAAGTGCTATTGCCTGACATTGGGTATACTTAAAAACACACTATGCTATATCCACGTAAGTAGTTTATCTTCTTTGCTTGACCACCTGAAAACATATTACTACAGAGCACGTGTGCCACTGAAACTTAATGAAAAATGTATTCAGTATTAAAATATTTTCCATCATTCACAGACTGTTTCTTATCACTAACACAGGTTATAAAACTGAATTTAAGAATACCATTAAATGACTGTGAGAGGCACAAACGATCTAGATCATTTTTGAGATTTAACTGTTTTGTTTTGACAACATTCATAAATTTCCCATCCCTCAGTGAAAATGCACAGACTTCTTGCATTTCAAGATCAATGACCAAAAAAAAAAAAAAAAGGAAAAAAAAACCCAAGCATTTATATGTTAGTATGAGGATGTAAGCTGGCTTCAGATTTTCTGGAATGATAGACAAGACCAAGGAGATGAGGAAAATACTTTTTTTCCCTTTAAGCTTCAACAAAAAACTAAGGCCAGTACAGTAGAAATACTTCTCAAATGTGTTTTTATTATGGAAGTAGCTTTTCTCTTAAAACATTTTTTTGGCTTTTTTTTTGTATCTGTTTGTAATCCAAACTCCTGTAATATTGTGCTAGAGTATGGAAGTCTAAAAATAAAATTGCCTGGTCTGTTTTTATCATCCAAAATGACTTAGAACAGACGACTTTGAGGGATGTTAGGACACTTCTACAATAAAAGTAGAAAAAAGGTACACCGGCTTCTTCAGCCTGCTTACATTTCATAGTCTGAATATCTTCATCACTTGTTTAGGGTGGTATCAAAATACCACTTTGTACAGAGTAGTCACAGATCAGTCAGTAGATTTATTTAAAATACGTAACCTGATTGTTTTGCAAAAACAGATTTGCTAGCTGAATATCTTTTTAAAGACTTGTAGACAAGCAAACCTGCTTTCTTCACCAGGCTGCAGTGATCTTGTGCACCTAAAGTATCTGATACTATCAGTTAAAAAAAAAACAGTATATTATCTCTTATAATTGTGCAATCATAAGAGAGGCCGAACTCTTCCCTCTCTGCAAAACGTCCTTGCCTTCTGAAATAGGCTTTTCTCATAGGAGTAGAGGCTGAGAGAGCTAGGATTGCTCTGACTGGGGAAAAGGTGATGGAAAGGGGGGATCTTATCAACGGATTTAAGTATCTAAAAGGATGGTATAAAAAGGACTGGGACAGGCTTTTCAGAGGTGACAAGAGGTAACAGGCACAAACTGAAATACAGGAAGTTCTGTCTGAAAATAATGAAGAAGTTTTTTGCTGAGAGGGTGGTCAAACCTGGAACAGGTTGCCCAGGGATGCTTTGCAGATACTCCAAAGTCATGTGGATAGGGTCCTAGGAAACCTGATGTAGGTTGAGCAAGGGGGTTGGATTAGATGTTCTTTAAAAGGTCCCTTCCAACCTCCACCGTCCTGTGTGCAATTCTCTGATTGCTCCATGTTTGCTGTTTGGATGTGACTGAAAGCAACAGCAGTGTGGAATATCCACTGTGTGGCATTAAGAAGCATGGGACTGTTCTCACCTTCAGCCTTTCTCCATCAGCTCCCAGAGAGCAAAGGTAACCCTGCACAGTGAAAGAGCAGCAACCACAAGAGTCTGTTAAAGGCCAGAAGCTGCAGTTTTGATGAGTAGTGGTTTAGCAGCCTGCAGGATGTCCAATTCAGGGTCCAGTGAACGACCAAGCCCTTCCAAGACCATGATGGCAAAGATGATGGAAGCAAAGTTGCTCTCGAGCTTCACCTAGAACCACAAGAGACTGAATGGACACCATGGACCAAAGACTTGCCCCGACTTGCATGTGAACAAATGAGTCCCCAGCTCCCACCCCTGCACTAGAGCTGTTTCAGGGCATACAAGGGCATTACGGAGTCACAGAGCTGGCAGCAGGACTTGCTTCACAGCAGCCTAAATTGCACCTGATGTTACTGCATGCCAGTCTAATTAATTTTGACAACCAAACGCTCTAAGGAATGTTTAAGGAGACCCTTGGCAGGCTGGCCAGTCCTACAGCTGCCCTAACCAGACATCATCTCTTCTGGTCCAGGCTTCACAGCCCTGTTGATTTCCAAGCTTGTTTGCAAGCTTGGAAGCTTATCCCCTATCAATAATATCAATCAATATTCACTAGCTATCAATGCTAGTGAATATAAAATGGAAACTCTTCTCTGGGAAGACCTCACTGTTGAGGTCTATAGCAACCCAGTAAAAGGGCCTAATGCTGTTACATAACCACATATTAAGAAAGAAACAAGTTCAGCCAAGAAGCCTGCATACATACACAAGATTTCACTTTCTGCTTCTAGGGGGCTATAAAAGAGACAGGAAATAACAAGTGCAAGAGTGGGTAATACCAACAATTAAATGTGGTATTGAGGTCAAGACCCAGGAAAATGGAAATTGGTCTTGGTAGGACATGCATTAGGCCCTGAGAAACTGCACTGCTAAAACAAGTGGATACATTCTTGCACTCCCTCTGCTAGCAGCTCGTTTCAGAAGCCAGTCACACCCTTGTCACCTGTCACCATCCCCACAGAGCTCCCTCCCCAAATGAGATTCCAGCTGTTGAAGGCAGACACTGCCTGTTCCTCACCTTATGGGTCATCAGTAACTTAAAGACATGGGACAGGAGATTTGCCACTTGAAGCTGGAATACAAAAGAAGTTAATTCTGCTAATTAGAGAGTGGGGGAAAAAATAGAAAAACAAACAAAAACCAAACCAAAATCAAAAGAAACACTGTGGTCAGCAGGACTAAGCCACATGCATGAAAGAAAGGATAAGAATTAAAATGGAGTGTTAGGATATTTTCTTGGTCGTGAGGTAAGATTACAGGGCTGTTAACAGCCAAGATAAGATGGTCCCTCATGGATAAGGGGATAAGATCCCCTCAGGATAAGGAGCTCAGCTGTGAACCAGCATCTGTCCATTGCCCTGCTTGCTTACTCAGCAGCCCACGAAGGCAGAGAACACACGACCTCACGCGGCCCCATACCTGTTTGCTCAGGACCACCACACTGCATCCTCTGGCACGCACGGGCCTTAACTCACGGGCTGCAAGCTCTAATGTCAGGTTTACCAACACCTGCCTCTCAGGGGACTGGCAGATTGTAGATCAAAAATATAATAATTGAAGAAAAAAAACACTTTTTATAATTGGGAGGAAACAAGAGAAGATTTTAAGAATAACTTTTCCTCCATTTGAGATACTAAAAACTAAGTATTGGGCAGTGCTGAGAGGATCAGAGCTGGCCCTTCCACCAGGGCCACTGCAGCACAAATTTCCAGGGGCCAGCGAGGGGCGGCCGCCGCTCAGGCACCTACCTTTCCCAGGGCCACGGAGCTCCCTCGCGCCCTGGCCACGAGCTCCGCCATCTCCGCCTTGAATCGCTCCACATCCCGGCACTGGTTGGCTCGGGCATGGTGAAGGATCAGCTCTGCCACTCGCTCCCCCTGCGGAACAAGGTGAAAGGGGGAATTAGCAGATTTAGATCGCAGGTACCAGCTGGCCTGCAGGGAGCCGTTCCTGGAAGGAGCTCCCAGGGCTGCACTCTCCTTTTGCAGTAGTTTTTGGATTAATGGAAACCCAAGGGGTTAACAGAAGCAGGTACAGAAAGAGCAGAACTGGTCCAAAAGGCTTAGCTAATCTCTCTCTCTCTCTTTTTTTTTTCCTCTTGTAGAAGAGAATGCAACAAAAAGTCATTGGTCAGCAGTGAGGAGAAATTTCAAGGGGAAAAACCAAAACATAGGATTAACACCTGAGCAAATAATGGTGTAAAAAAGGACATCTATTAACCTCATCTAAGGAATAGGTCCAACCCTCTATTTTCAAAGGGTGAAGAGTGAACTGATTTTGTGAGCCAGCATATGCTTGGATGGGAAAAGAAGAAGGGGAGTCATCTGCAAGCTTCACTTACAAGTGGGGCTTTTATGTCTCTTCTTAGTAAAGCTGTATGACAGTGACACACAGGGCCAGGGGCCGAGTTTGGCAGTGAGACTTGGCATAGAAGTTTTTCCACCTGTAGAACATGAATTATAGCCAGCCTAAGCCATGAAGAGCTTGCAATTAAGTGGCTGCTCAGGAGCTGAAGTCAGTCTGGCAGCACAGCACACCCTGAACACACGGACATTAGCATGACTTGTGGGAACATTTCAGCAGATCAAATAGACAGAGATTAAGTATTCCTCCTATGTACTGGTGAGCCCTCCAACTTGCAGCTGGGAAATAGCAATATGCCAATAAGAGCACTGATACTTTTTCTCAGAATGAGCTAAAGACTTGAGCATCGGATTCTCTAGCTCATAAGACAGCACATTAAAAGAGGGAACAAGAAGGAAGAAATTCCCTTTGTACAGGGAAGTCTGACATGGGACAGACTCCTGCCTTCCTGGCTTTTCTTCACAAATGCTGAGATGAGCAGAAGGGAGGGTGGCTGTGAGCTGCAGCAGAGAACGTGTTTGGAGATCAAGATTTTCATCTGTTCTCCTCTCTGCTCTAGCAAAATCTGTCTAGTCTCCAAAATGCAAGTGGCTCCCAAGCAGCCCTAACTCGCACTGAAAGTGCTCCAAGCCAGGAGTGCTCTGTCACCCTCACAAGCCACTGAAACCATTCTGTTCCGGAAGCCACTTTGCTTTAGTTGAGGATCTTACGCGTGTCTGGTGTAGCTTTCAAGCTAGCTGACAGCAAGGAAGGACTGGAAGGGGAAACACGGGAAGCTACACTTTGACCATCAGACTCTCCAGGCACCTCCCTTGACCAGCCTCAGCTCCCCAAGACTCGGAGAGGCCCTCACCTGGCCCTGGACCACAGCAGTGAACACGGCGCGGAAGTTGCGCATGTCGGCAGCCTGCAGCTCCGCCACGATGCCCGCGTCCAGTAGCACCAGGCAGAGGCGTGCGCGGGGTGGCCGCACCTCCAGCACCAGCGTGTCGCACAGGTCCACAAGCGCCAGCTGCTCCCCGCCGCCAGCGCTGCTGTGGGCCGGGCCTTGCACCAGGATGTTCCCGGGGTGCAGGTCGGCATGAACAAAGTTGTCAACGAAGACCTGCAGAAAGGGCAAGTCTCAGAGCAGCTCGTTCCAGCCACGCCTGCCCACACCAGACTCCTGGGCAAATCATGCAGGCCCATTCCTGGTCCATTCCCCTCAGTGCTACCATGCATCCCCCCATACAATATAGCAGCAAACGGGCTGATGGGGACAAGCTTGGGGGAGTCAGCAGAGCTGCATGAAGCAATCGTGTGCATTTGTAGAGCACCAGTGAGGCAGCAAGCAGTTTCAGCAAATCTGATTGCTCCTCAGCAATCAACCCTGGACTACACGGGCACTATGGGCCTTGGCAAAGAGAACTGCAGAAAGAACAAGTCCTTTGCCATTCATTGGTATGGGATTTAGTGAATGACTAAGGGGTTGTTTACCCCAGCACATCAACCCACATTATAAGTACAAAATAAACTAGTGAGGAAAGTAAGCTGAAAGAGGAGACAGATGTATGTAGCAGTCCTCTGCCTCTAATACTGCCCAGCAACAGAAAGGATTAACAGCAGTGCAAACACTATGGGATACTGGCAACCTCGGACTGCAGGACTTCCTGCTCCAATCAGCCTTATCTTAACATTTAATGGATTTCCTTCTCTTACAAATTTGCCAATAGCCATGTGAATTAAAGCAGGATTAAAAAAAAGGCAAAGAAGAAGGCAAAGAAGAAGGCAAAGAAGAAGGCAAAGAAGAAGGCAAAGAAGAAGGCAAAGAAGAAGGCAAAGAAGAAGGAAAAGAAGAAGGAAAAGAAGAAGGAAAGTGAGGGGATGATCTTTGGGTACTGTCTGGAAAAGAAAGTGCCTTCTGATAGATTGGTTTGTGCCCTCCTTTTGGTCTCAGAAAACACCTTCACTGTCATATACCCATGAATGTGTGCATCTGCCACAAGCTGCCCTCACTTCTCTGCTTTCCAGACTTAACAATCCCAATTTATTTCAATCATTCCTGTATGGAAGTCACTCCACTCCAGAAGTCATCCTCTCAGTCTTCCTCTGAACCTTTCCTAATTCTATTAGAGTCTTTGAGATGGAAGGGAGGGACTAGAACTGCACAAAGTCATTAAGAAAGAAGCTTAAAAAATTAAGAAAACAAACAAACAAGAAAAAAATATACTGCCTTAATGTTCTACTGCCAATTCCTTTCTACTGCTAGAATTTGGTTTGTGTTTTTTGATTGTGCATAAATACCCATACATATAACCACTGCAGTTATATATCTATGTATAAGTTCTTTACCTCCTTGAAAATGATATCTTTGGAGGAGGGGTAGAAAGTGAACAAACTAGGCTAGCTGCTTTCCCTGTGGCTTGTGTCCATAGTCTCTGCAGAGAGCCTGATACTTGCCAATTACAATGCACTGTATTGCTCTTGCACAATAAATACTCAAATGCTCATTTAAATGGATTGCGGGTTTTCCTAAGCAACGCCCTGATCCAACTGCACCTGAGCTCCCTACTGCGTACGAGCAGGTGCCCCAGCTGACAGCACCTACCATCTTTAGCAGCATGTCCATGCCCATCTTTGCAAGTCTCTGCTTCAGCTGTGGGGCAATCTCTGTGTGCAGGTACTGGGAGATAGGCTCACTCTCCTGAAATAAAGACAGACTGGAGTCAAATCTGCAAAGAGTGGCGGGAAGGCAATAATATACTCTAAAGGATGTGCTCTGTGGTGCCTGTACCTCCTGCAATATGGAACATGGGAGAAGAAAAAGATTTGTTCTTTGGAAAGAGTTTGAAACAGCCTGGGAGAGAAATACCCTCACCGAGATCGCATACACGAAAACTAAGGCTGAGAGAACAACTTTGGACTGACTTAAACATCCACGAGGGAATCAGGGCAAGCATCAGGCAGGGTCACGTTGCGAGCTGCTGCTTTGAACTGTCAGAGAGGAGAGCCAGAGCATGGTGCTGGAGCAGAAAGCACAGGGAAGCGCATGGGGGCTGGACACCTTGCCAGCTTGCTTTGGCTTCAGGCCAAGTTTACTTCCCTCTGAAGCTGTACCTCCCACCACTCTTTTGGGATGTACTGCTTATGAGCAAAGAGTAGAAGAGACCCTACAGGAAGGACATCAATCTCCTTAAGTAAATAAGAGAAAGGCAGCATCTTCCCGCTTCTGATATCTCCGTCTCAAAGAAGGAGCATTAGCGTATTCTCCTAAGGGCCTTCTCACTACCAATCATTCTCAGACCAAATGTTCTCACCTCAAATGTTTCCACTAGAACATCTGCTGTAACCAGGGGGTGTAGAGGAGTTGGGAACTTCACAAAATCAACATCCAGGAAATTTTGGCGGAAGCGTTCCAGATTCCTGGCTTCATAGCGCAAGTCAATCTCAAGAAGAAAAAGCAGGGTTGACAATTAGATGCAACTGGAGATTGAAAATCCTGCATGAGGTCATGGCTGCAAGGTGCAACACCTCACACCAGTGAAACTCAGAGAATCATAATGAAAACAAAATACAAAGGGCTTCTTCTTACACACTTAAAGTATCCCTCATGAAAGAGAAGAGGCTGGTAATGAAAACCCACAAGCCAGCACCCTAGAAATACACGTTACTCACCATTGGCATGGTGTCTCAAAAAATAAAAGACAATGACTGCAATATTTTTGATAGGATAAGATGGAACCTGAGCGAAAGCTTGCTGTTGAATAGCAAAACACAGGGAGGAAGAATTGCAGCTCTAGCCTCATTTTGTAAGCAGGCAGCTGTAGCAGGAATAAATTTAATGTGACCCATACAAAATAATCCACTGTACAGAGCCTTGGCCCTGTTCTCCTCAGTGATTCCGTGCACTGACACACAGGCCTCTCTCCTGCCCAGGAGACATTTCTTTACCTTCTGCTTTATCCTCTCCTGCCCATGCTGCTGCTTAAGGACATGGGAGAGAAGCTGACCTTAACTCACTTCCCAGGAATATTTCTCGTTCTTTCAAAGGAAAATGAAAAGAAAGGACAACAGGCCTGTCAGGTGCTGTCCTGATGCTGAGTCTTCGGAATCTCCAGCAAAATTTCTGCCAGCTAAACTGGAACTAGGAACATTAAGGCACACTCAAATAGCATCAACAACTTACAGAATCACAGAATGGTTGAGGGTGGAAAGGACCTTTAGAGATCTCCTAGTCCAACCTCCCTGCTCCAGCAGGAACACCTAGAGCACAGGGCACATGTCACACCCAGGCAGGTTTTGAAGATTTCCATAGAAGGAAACTCCACAACCTCTCTGGGCAGCCTGTTCCAGGGCTCTCTCACACTCACAGTAAAGTTGCTTTTCCACATATGAAGATGGAACTGCCTGTGTTTCAATTTGTACCCATTAGCCCTTCTTCTGTCACTGGCCACCAGTGAGAAGAGTTTGGCCCCATCCTCTTTACATTCTCCCCTCAGGTATTTGTACACATTGATCAGATCCCCTCTCAATCTTATCTTCTCTAGGCTAAACAGGCCCAGCTCGCTTAGTCTTTCCTCATACAATAGATGCTCCAGTCCCTTAATCA